TTTCACCGTGCCTCTCACGTACAAGGCTCGCCACGTTGATGAAGTTCAGCGCGAGCTGCCCCCATCCCCGTGTGCCATAACAGCCCACTTGTACACTGTGAGAAAGAGGCAGAGTGAAGGGGGAGAGGATAAACACAGGGAGGAGACATGGAGAGCATACAAACAAAGAACGATAAAGGGAAAGTAAGGGAAAGTATGGAGTGTGGAGTGAAGATGAAGGCAAAAGAGGATAAGAAAAGGCTCAAGAATGAGTCTGTCCTTGATGACAGAGAGGACATACATTGTAAGGATGATGTGGATSAACACATGGAAGACCTAGCTGAGCATTCTCAGTGCAACAATTGCCATGACGGGTGGCATTGAGCATGCCCGCCATACACCCCCGACAAATGGCATGTCGATTGCAGGCCAAAAAGAAAGAAGAACGGTCACCACAAAAGAGCATGCATTCAGTATAGTGCCCATGGCCGCAAGTGGACATATAGTGTCCGGATGCGGAGGGTGCCTGCAGTCAGGAACGGTGGGACAGTCCTCTGCACACATGGATGCAGAAACCATGTCATTGTAGTGATTGTGACAGAGACGATGGCGGCTACAGCCGAGTGTAACAGTGTTTGTGGTTGTGCAAAGCAGAAGGTCGCAGAGTGTTGGTACATTGTCTTGCTGCAGCACGGGCCCAGAGGAATGATCTTCGACATAAAAGAGATTGCGGACGGTTTGTTGTGGCAAGAAAACAGCATCATTTTGTACGAAATCAATGACATCAATCATGGCATGGACCATGGTGCCGTTGTTCCACAGCTCCCAGTGGTCAGAGGCATGTACAATGGCCATGTAATGGCCAGGGCCATGCACAATGCAGGCAGAGGTGTGGGATGGAGGATTAAACCACTCACCTGCTCGAGCATAGCGTAGCTCAAGTTGACGGTCCCTCATTGCTACTTGTAGGACAGCAATGGTGAAGCCTCCTTCGCTGGTATAATCACAATCATCTGGCTGTCGTTGGGGAAGATCATCATCAAGCTGAAGGGCGATTGCAAGGAAGTCTGATGTTGTATAAAAGTGTCGGGACATTTGGATCCCGAATAACGTCCCAGCACTTGAGAGCCGGTATACAGCCAAGACGTCCACAACAGAGAAATCCGGAGAAAGGAGACAAGAAAGAGAGAAAAGACAAAGGACTAGGACGGGACCGGAGGAAGGAATGATGCCCTAGGCTGAGTACCGCGGGGTGAAGGACCCGCCAATGTCAAAGCTCTCTCGCAAATTGGCCCATCCCCATCCATCGCAAAACACTAGGTGGGGGTGCCCCTGTGACAAACGCTCCGCGCCCTGAGCATGAGATCGGGTGGAGCAGAGCCAACTAGGACCCGCCGCGGGGTCGACTCAGGCTCAAAAGTCTAACAGGGTACGGCCCTACAACGGGCGATGGAGAATGTGAAGATAGATATTAATTGCTGTCAGACCACAGAGATCGGTGAGGTTCTCAAGCTGGTGTGTTGGATGCTGGCCAACAATTTGCAGATCACCCAGATGGTGTTGCAAGCCCAAACTCTGTTGGGTTGTTTGCTGGTCAGTCATTTGCAGATCACCCATGTGGTCTGCGTGTGGCGGAGCACAAAATTGTGGTTCATCCGAACAATGTTGGTCAGCCATTTGCATATCCCCCATGTGGTCTACGCCTTGTGGGGTCAACTGCAATCCGGGCAGATCATGTTGCAAACCCTCAACGTTTAGGGCTGCATCCCGAGTAGGGACTGGTGGCTGCCTGCAGGCAGCTGGAATATTTGTAGGAGGCATAGGAGCGGATATTGCCGTTTGAAACAAAGGAACCGCAACAACCTGTGGAGAAGGCACAGAGAGAATTGGGGCAGACAAAGAAACAGGTTGCTGATCCCCGAACAAGTGACGATGTCGCGGATGTCGTCAGTGATACACAACAAGAGTAGTGGTGTTGTTGCAAACAAAAGTTGAACTTGTACTTAGCAACGCAGGTGGAACAATGGGAACAATGAAAACTGGAGAGTCTGTTAGCAAGCGAGACCGTGGAGGAGATGGGGGTGGTAGGGGGAATTACAGTTAGGGAAACTGTTGTACTGAAAACTGCAGCAGTGGAAACCGCAGCAGCGGAAACTGGAGCAGTGGAAACTGGAGCAATGGAAACTGCAGCAGTGGAAACCGCAACAGTGGACATTGCAACAGTGGACACTGCAGCAGTGGAAACTGGAGTAGTGGAAACTGCAGCAGTGGAAACCGCAACAGTGGACACCGCAGCAGTGAAACTTGCAGGAGTGGAGACTCCAGCAGTGGAAACTGCAGGAGTGGAGAATGCAGCAGTGGAAACTGCGGTAGCAGGAGATGTGTAAGCAGGGGCAAGACGAGAGCATCGTGGGGGCGAAGAAGAAATTGGATGACACAAGGACCATCGCAACATGCATCGGAACCACTGCGAGAGACGCGTCACATGTGTAGGATAGCGACGTTGGCGGCAATGCATGTAGCAGGTCCACCCCTTAGCAAGGGTTGATGGGGAATGTCCACGCGAAAGCACACGACGGGTAAGTGTTGTTGCCACAGTTCGAAAGTCCTGCCAATTGTTACAGATTTGTTCAAATCTGGTCAATTGCCCAGTGAACACACCAGCCGGTTGATGTGAAGGGATGTTGTAGGTCGCACTTGGATAATGAATGACGGGGAAGTCCCAAGCAGCCGCTTTATCAAAGACGCTTATGCGAAGCGAGCCATGGGAACGGACCCGTAAATGCATACCTAAAAAGGTACAGGAGCCAACTGTAGTTGTAGTCTCCTTCCACTCAAGCCCATAGTGTTCTAGTGGAGGAGGTAATTGTCCCCATGAAAGAACATCATCAATGAGGTGATAGGTGAAGGCATATTGTTGAGCAGCTTGAAGATCATGTTCACCAATGTCATCAACAAAGCGTGCTTCACCCCAATAGAGTGTCAGATTGGGCCAGCATTCGTTCCCATTGGAATACCGATAATTTGTTTCCGAAGCGTGCCATCTCTCGTGTATAGAAAAATGTTTTGTACAACAAAGCGAAGATGTTGGAGAATCTGCGAAACAGAAAGGGTATCCGGGCCTGAATCAGTTGTCCATTGGCCACAACTAGATCCTCGAATAACCATGTTGAGGGCAACACAGCGTGAATGCGTGCGAGCTTGCCGAAGGGCATAAGCATGAGAATTCAGTCATGAGGAAGGTTGGTGTACATTGTGGTAAAATCAACAGTGCGAGGAGAGAGGCCACGAAGAGACGATGCATTGTTTTTCAGGTCAATCGCCACTTCATCTGGACTCTGAACGATCCAGCATTGTCGAACACCAACCTGTTGATAGAGCTCAATGTCTTTCTCGCGAAGAGTAGAGATCACTCCTTGCAAAGCAGCGCTGAGATATAACGAAGTAGTCGTTGTGCTAGCCAAGGGTTTGTGAGGAGGTCGTTCATGAATGGTGCGAATTGTTGGACGAGGGCGAGCACGCGGGGGAACAACACTGTTATTTTGTGCTCTGACTCCAAGAAGGTTGTGAAGAGCTGGAGGAGACTTGTGAGCTTTGAGTACATAGTAAAGGTAAGGAAGGGTATCAATACGGGTGTAACCCCAATGGTGATTCCACACTGCATGGTTGTCAAGGACATCAGCAACGGACTCTTGAGGACGAGTATAAGTGGGACCGTCCAAATGGGTAGAGACATGAAACAGATACCAATTCTTGCCGCAGATTACCAAATTGTATGATGTTTTGTCCACAGGGACAATGGCAAAGTGTTGTTGAAGATGGTGCAAGGAGGCATGTGTAGAGCGTAGTGAACGTGGCTGGCTCACATGATTGGAGAACGAAGATGCATTGGATTGACAATGCGCAAGGATTGCAGAACGCCAACTGTTCAACTTCTGAGAAAGAGACGAGAAAGAAG